ATTTAAAGCTCTGAAATAATGTAAATAAAATAAAGGGAAGTTAAAAAATATATTTTATACACTTACAATCGGCGATGGCGTGATGAAGCGGCGTTAGTTCTCTGACGAAGTCCCTGGTTGAGGATTGTCATGTTTTTTAAAGAAGGCATGTAGTGTGGACTGTCATGATTTCTTCTTTCTTTCAAAATTTCACGATGAAGCCTCGTGACCTCAATTGCATATGAGCAAACTTGCATATGCAAAAGTTTGCATTTCACAAACAGCTTTTACCGATTCATCGATCTCATTGGAGTAAATTTGCGTTAACGAAACATACGTAATTGCAGAGATGACTGTATTTATAATTTTTATTCAAAATAAGCAATGTAAGAATTTAGATTTAGTGTAAGAAGCAGTACGAGAAACATTGTAAAACGTTAATAAGTAGTAGTAAAATATATTTTTTTCACTTTTTGACTTTCTGGTTTCAAAATCGGCGCTATTCTGAATCGGCGCAAATTGAGGGCTACCTGTAGTGCCATTGGATTTGCGACTGCTGGAAGCACCTGTGCAAGTCATTTCCTGGGGTGTTTTTAAATGTTGTCATAGCTTATTTTACCCCATCTGCTGACTGCTCACTTCAAGAGGGTTTTCATCCTTGTGAACAGATAGTAACTGGCATGGGATGGATGTGGAAGGTTAGATTACAAGTGGTGAAGGCAATGAATGTTCCTGTTTTTGGTCTTGCCGTTTATTTCTCCAGAGTGAACATTTGGTGAAAAATACCCTGGCTATAAAACAGTTCCTGAAGTGTTTCCTGCTTGAAATGTTTGCTTACTTAGTGTTGAGGGAGATTTCAGTATGAGGCTTCACATTTGGGTTTTGGTCCCAATTACATTGTAAATTGTGGAAATATTTTGGCAAGTCATACACAGAATTTAACATTTGCTTGCATCTAAGATTTTGACATCCTGATGTGCCAAGTGTAGAAAATAATAAAATATACCACAGCAAACAGGCTGTGGAACATTCTGTGTGTACATGCCAGAACAGATTGCTGACTATTGAATAGGTTTGTATTTATTCGTTCATAAGAAAATATTGCAGATATTGAAATGGACTGGATGTGATATGATGTAGGAAAAATATGTGTATCTTGCAATAGCAAAGTGAGAGTTTATGTTTGTGTGGTTGGAGTAATAAGTTGTCTACGTCCTACAGCTGATGTGCTGTCAGAGGAGGTGATTATGAAGTGGTACAAGGAGGGTCATTCTGTCAAAGGAAAGATGCTGTTTTTGGACCAGATGAAGAAGTTCATTGAATGGTTGCAGAATGCTGAAGAAGGTGAGCTAAAGAATATGAACACAAGTTTCAGGATTTTAACTGCCAATATAAGACTGACTGACACCCTCAGGAGTGGATGTCTATAAAAACCTCATTTCTGACAGTGAGAATTTTGTAAATGTGAAAATTGCCTGGCATGATATTTTTCAAAATGTGAACTTTCATTGTCAAGGACTTCTAATGTATTTTATCGTGATCTTATATAAAATCTGTTGGAGCATGCACAAAGGTATTTCACAAAAAATTGTTGCAACTTGTTCCACGTTTGACTGTTACGTTTTTTATTTTTCAGAATCTGAATCGGGTGAGGATGATGATTAAATTGAACTTAACTTCTCATTCACCAAGGTAAGTTCTTTTTTTTTTTTACGCCATCTGAGAAGTTGAAGAAACAGCCAGTCCTCAGGCTAAAGTGCTCGATTCTTTTTTTTTGTGTTGCAGTAAATACCCAACTTTAACAAAATTGCCTGTGGTGTCCATAGAGGAAAGTCAGCAGTACTCTCGAATATGTCTTCTGGTAGTGCATTTTATTTATGGATGGAGTGAACAGAAAGTAACATTTCAGGACTTGGGACTTCACTAAAGTCTGTTACGAAGAAAGATTTTTCAGAAATCTACTACTGCATTAAATGTATGAAATTTATTAAATTTCAGTAGTGGTATAAAGTGAAACAACAAGTGAGTGGTATGTTCATCTCTGACTGTACTGGTGCCTTATCCATCAACACTGATTCGCTGGATGCTAATTGAGGTTATTAGTGGTATGTACTTGTGAGTAAGAGAATATTTTGATTTCTTGTTGTCATAGTAACGCTTCTTTAATAAAGGATCTGAGTCATGTTTTTAGTAAATTTGTGATTTTAAAAATGAATTAAATAAAAAATCGTCAGAGATGAGAATACCCAGTATTTAGAATTAGCCATCCATACTTCGCCGTGCAGCAAGTTCTGAGTTTATTCGATCTTCTGTTTTTTTATACATACACATAAATATATATACTTGTGTTTGCTATGTGGCATAGTGTTTCTCACAAATTATCTCTGGTGTAAGTTATTAAGAAAGTGAACCAGTGTTTTTCAAATAAGCTGCCAAATAGATATACTTTTTGTAAATGAAATTTATTTTATCTACATGATTGAAAGTTTTCCCTGTTACCTCACAACTCAAAATGAATTATAGAAACACCATGTGAGCATACCACGTGCATAATTTACCGATGATACTCAAGAGTGAAATTGGTGGCCCCCTGAAAGAGATGCGAGTCTTTGGATCATGAAAACATAAAATCCACAAGCTTTGTACTTTTTATAGTGACAGGAAATTTGGGGTATGGAATTGGTTTCAGGTTTTGTGTGTAATCACATTTGTATGGGAAAATAAAAAAGATTATTGAAAAGACTGCCCTGTTTGAATGTGTAGTTGTCCTCTACTGATTTTTTGGTTATCAATCCTAGGATTGGTTTGCAACCCCATTTCAGGGTCGTTTCTTCCGAAAATACCACGGTGGTGTCGCCTTGCCTTCCGTGGCCAGTCTTTATCCATCAGAGTGGAAGAGAAAGGACGCAGACAAACATCCGTGCCTTGAGTGGGACTCGAACCCACGGTCCCAGCGGCCAGGCGCACGAGGTCCCTATCTCGGACCGCGTGGCCACTGCGGCCCCGCCCTCTACTGATATAAATACGTAATACAGTGCCATCTATACTGCAATTAACCTTCAACGGTTTACATACCAAGTTCACTTTAGAAAGATATTGTAGAAGGAGTGTTAAAAATAATAAGATACATAAATATAAGTGTGAAAGGTTGACAAACATGGATATGTTGTAAATTGCTACTAATTAACTTCAGGACTGAAGATGGAGGCAGTATGCTGATATGGAATGAACATAACACATTAAAGCCATGTATGAGAAAATAACTGTGGGAAATTTGGCTTCTTAGTGCTGGGTGACTGAAAAGTCATACAACCCACATTAAAATATTTATTGATGGTTGCAATTCAGTACAACTTGTTTGGTTTAATAAACAGTATCACTGACTATACGCAATTCACTTCATGTACCCTGCTCGTGTCAGTGCCAGCTTTCTTCGTGCAAGGATGTCTTTTCACAAGTGAAACGAGTGTTCATTGTCGAGCACTACTGACATTTTGTTCTTGCTTTACTTGTCAGAATGAGTTAAGATACACATTTCCTGATTCTCCTGTGCCATATAGACACTACCTCGACTGGTGAACCATTTTCACGACGCATCTTGCAGGACAGAAAATGTCCTGACTACCTTTGGTCATGAATGATGATTGTTGCTCACTGTCAGTGGAGGATAATTGGATGCATTTCGTTTGGTGAAATTGTAACAGCTGAAAATTACACGTAATTACAAATTTAATTTCCTTTTTGGAAGTTGAAAAAACAAGACTGCTGGTTTCAGCAAGATGGAGCTATGTTGCGTGCAATAGTTCAACAGTGCAGGTGGTAAGTTCTTCGGTGGTTGCTTCACTTCTCGAAACTCGTGGCTTCTTTGACCCCTGATATCACCTCTGGATTTCTGTCTTTCAGGTTTTTGAAGGAGAGCGTGTACAAAAAAAACTCGTGCACATTAAAAGAATTGAAACAAATTATTCAGCTATGCATTTCATGTCACTGCAGAAACACTTTGCCGGGTTGCATGAAATGCTGAACACGAATATTTCCAACATTCGATATCACATTTTTATTCCGATTACAGTGTAACCTATTTTTTTAACAAATAATAGATATGTGAGTTTTCAGTCACTATATTTGTGATGCCATTGAAACTAAGGACGTGCTTCCATTTCATAAATTGTAATAAAAATTATACAATACAGAGGTACATTTCTTTGCATATTTTTTTACTAGTACTCATTTCAGTTACATTAAATGAATTTTAACCTCAAAGTTTCGTTGTGTGTCATCATTAAATATTAGCATGTGGACAACACTTGAAACAAAAGCTGGACATCTTGCCAAGATATACCACACCAAATGACAGATCCCGTGCATCACAAGTTTGCCCGATCTTTGTTACTGGCGGTAGGAAATGCAAGAAGTGCTGGTTGAGGTGTGACGTCTGATAGCGTGATGTTTATAGGTTATGTATGGTTTGTATCTAATTTGACGAAAGTTCGTTATTACTTTAAATGTTTACTTAAGGAAGTGATCGCCTACCATACAGGTGATAGTTAAGTCACGCAGTCCATTTTAAAATATTGGTGGTTGCAATTCAATACAGTGCGATTTGATTAATAAACACAACATCGACTTTCGGTGTTTAGTGACTAATTTGGACAATGTGCATGCGTCGATGAACGCTGTGGATAATTTCAACACTATATAATATTGCGTTTTTGTTTTTTATATTTCAATGTAATGTAATTTTTGACAAATAGAACTTGTCAGGAATGGGTTGCGTGACATTTAGATCATTCTACATGAGAAAGTACGTCAAATCGAAAGCATAGTCATGTTTGCGTTCTTTGAACAGACAGCCAAAATGCTTCAGATTGTTACCATTGATAACGAATGTCGTCACCAGACTGCAATGCATTATAGTATGCAGGTAGCTAATAAAACCGTAGCAACGTTCAGATATTTGGAAAGGATGGTAACAAGTCAACTGATACCGTATCTAGCAACGTAAAGATTAAAATATACAACAAATTTTTAATTTTTCTTGCTTTGTGTGGGTGTGAAACTTGATGTGTTACATTATATCTGTAATTCGAAATGCCTCAGAATTTTATTTTCTGAAATGCAAACGGTTCGATGATGGTTGTATTCTTTTGTCTGTGTAACACGTACCATTGCAGCATTGAGGTTAACAGATTTGACCTTCTTCGTTATTAAATGGATCAGACATAATATGTCCAATCATAAAGGAGTCCAGTCGTGTCGACATATACAATTTCGATGTTCAATTGTTCCTGTTCGTTGTTGACCGTCGACTGCCATTGGGATTGCTTTTGACAGTGAACATTGTATTGCAGCAGACGTAGGTGGTTTGTTTCGGTTGTTTCATACGATTTATTGTGTTTCAAATCCAAATTGATTACCAAGTATAACCGAACATACGTAGTAAGTAGAAGAACAGTTTTATTTAACTATACACCATAAACTGACTTCTGTGTTTTTGTATGGTCCCTTCTCCGTGATTGTGAGATAGTCTGATTGTTGTGTTTCTGATTTTGCATTTATACATTGGTATTTCGCTTATGAAAGCTACAGTGAAGTATGAAATGGAGGAAGTGACCTTGTTTGATGAACCCTGTAAGAAGTTTCATGTATTTTGCGCATACACGAGCTCATCTGTGTGTTTGTAAACTGCAAATGAAAACATGTAACTTCAGTAATCAATTACCAGTCTTTTTTTTGCGTGACGGTTAGAAGTTCCGCTTTATTCAGTGAAATTTGTATGTTTCTACGTAGAAGTACATAGATTATAAAACTGATGTAGTCTGGTCCAGACTCATCGCCGTAAAAAACCTCAAATCCTACCTAATTCGAAAGATTTTTACGGACCCTGTAATCCTGAATGCAAGAAAGAAACAGATTGCCGGAAATGAAGATTAATTATTACATTCTGAGAGTGTCTGTAGAAAGGTAATGTTACTGCATTTGCTAAAATTTGTGTATTTGCACCAAAATCAGCGAAGGGCCCGTCACGTTGTCCTGTGATATGTGGAGTAGCTAAGTCTAGCACGTGCTTTTCAGGAAAGCTTGCGATTTTTTCTAAAATGAGGCTTTACTTCAGATATCGCTGAAATTAAAATCCACGGGTTCTTAGTTCGAGTCAACACGTGGCTTTTTCTTTACTAATATAATGGTGGTAGCGGAGGGTAGAGGAAAGAAAATTTTATACTTAATAAAATCTTCTCGGGCAATCAGCCGCGTTACCTGGTTACCGTAGTAAACCGACGTTTCGGGAACAAACTCTGTTACTACGGTAACCAGTTAGCGAAAGTCTCAAATCCTATAAAATTTTACGCTGTTCCACATGCGAATGAAACCCGAGAAGCTGAGATAGATTTAGTCGTGCCCCACAACGCTCAGGGGATTAGTCAGCTCGGTTCGCTCACAGGTCAAAGTAGGAGTCGTGGTGGACAAAGGGGCACTGGGACTGGTTTTTCTCCGGGTCGTTTGTTCTTTCTGTGTTAGAATTATTCCACCGCAGCTTCACATTCACTCTTGAATCATTTTGGGATGGAAGATATCTTTTTCTGAAAATCGTATTATGTTAAGGTAGAACAGATTCGCTGTCTAGAGATCGTAGGACTTTTTTTTAGTTATATGTACACGTAAATAAATTGTTTGTCAAACAATTTTTGTTGTATTCATGTTGCTTTAGAAGGCCGTGGTTGTTCTTGCGTTAATCAAAATTTCAATTCGTGTCGTGGTCTGCTAAAGTTTCTCCTGAAGAAACTGACAGAAACAAGAAAACTCCAGGGTCGTAGAAGTGATTATTGATACTGATATAAGTAACTATTTGAACCTGTATTTTCTGTTATTTATTTTAAAACCAAGGTACGCCGTCAATAATTCTTGAAAATAACCTCATCTTCTACAAGACGAGTAGGCCTACGAGGTGCGATCGGAAAGTTTCAAGATTGCGCGTATGAAAACCCGTACACTTATCTCAGGTATTAAATTCATCCATCACCCTCGAAGTAGTTCCCCTGGGAGTGAACACAACGATCCCAGCGCCGCTGCCAAGCCTGGAAGCATCCCTGGAAATCTTTCTTTGTCAGCCTGTCAAGCACCATCTGCGATTCTGCCTGAATCTCTTCTATCGTCTCAAATCGCCTTCCCTTTAGCTGAATTTTCATCTTTGGAAAGAGGAAGAAGTCACACGGAGCTAAATCCGGCGAATAAGGAGGGTGCGGGATGACGGCCAGGGTGTTTGAGGCCAAAAACTGCC